GAAAAATTGAAACAGCCGTCACCAAACAAAACAAAAATAAACAGCCGTCACCTTTTTAAAAACTTCTATCCACATTATTATAATTTAGAGCCACCATTTTTGAATAGAATACTTTTCTGGGAAGGATCTAAAATTGACCAATAATGTGAATATATTCAAAAGATCATGACCGTCCATTACTCCACTTGCTTACGTGTCATAATTTCGACTATCCATTTCATCTCAAACTTGGTGTAAGATAAATCTAACAATACAACAACTTAGTCAGTATAATTTTATAATTGAATCCGGAGAGGATAGTGTCACTTATCTTTCGCCGAATCAACTCACTCAAAAATTATATCGTAGGAAGTAAATTTTTGCTAAAATATTGGGAAGCTTTCTAAAAAAATTTCATATAAAAGTACTACTATTTTTTTATTATTGATTCAATCAAAATATCTATAAGAATAATTACTAAACATTTTAAGGTGGGTAACTGTGTATATATAGACTTTACCCCTACTATATGAAGTAGAAAAGTTATTTCTAATAACTATAGACTCAATTTAAAACATTACAAAAAGAAAAATAACGAGAGAGAAGAAATCAAGACAAAACACGTGTACTTTAACTAACCATCTATACGTAGAATCCATTAGAAAATTATATTGAATTGTTGAATATGTCTATGAACAGAGAACAGAACGCGTTTTAGGTAAAAGCCAACCGACAAGCAGACTTGGACCGACCAATCACCTGAACCACCCATGTTGTTTCCTTTTTACCCACCTCTTATTTCGCCACGTGTACATCCCCCAACGGCTAGTTTTTCATATACATAAGTAAAATCCATTTTGTCATCTAAAATTACATACTTATCTTTTAGCCAGTTGAATATATAAACAAATTTGACTCATTTTTTCAACCAATTGTTTGTACAGTTTTGTGAAAAAGGATATAGCTTTGTTGGATCTGTCTTGATATAGTGTTCATTTTCAAATTATTTGCATAAAGGTATGTTATCCAAAAAAAATTAAATACTTTTCTGCTTACCATTTGACTCAATTGACTATCTTGATTTCAAAGATTGAATTTTTTTTGAAAAATAATTGTTGGGGTTTCTTGGTTTTGCTGTTTAGTTCATTTGGGAAGTTGGGTTTTGGTTTTTTTGATAGTTTATTCATTTGGGGTTGTTTTTAATTGTCTAATTTGGTGGGAAAAATCTAATCTTGACAGTGAAAACTAAAAAAAAAAAATTGGTAATGGGGAAGACATGAAAAGTGAAAATTTGCTTGGTTTTATTGTTTTTAGTCCATTTGCTTAGTTGAGGTTAAATTGTTTTTGGTAGTTTATTGATTTAGGGTTGGATTTTGGATGATACTGATTTGTTTTGTTCTCTGTTTTGGTGTAAAAATCAGATCTTTGCAGTTGTGTTTTCTGTGAAAAAAGTTGAAGAGAAATGGCAATGGGAAAGAAGATATGTGAAAATGTTGGATTTGGGCTTGTGAGAAGTACCTCATTTGGGAGGAAAAGAGTTTGTTTGCCTAATATTAGGGATCTTGAGTTCATTTCAACAACACCTACAAAGAAAATATGCAGAAAGAATTCATTTTCCACTTGTGTGAAGTCCCCTCTTGAAGCCCTGCCTCAAGATATCCTGGTTAGTACAAAAATCAAAATTTTCTTTTAAGCAATAGTATAGTCACGGGTTCGAATCGTGGAAACAGTCACAAATGCTTACAGTAGGATAGAATGTCTGCATCATACCCCTTGAGGTGTGATGCTTTGTGCACTGGGCTGCCCTTTCACTGTACTTAAATTCATGGATTCCCAATTCATTTACTATCTAGTGGACTGGCTTACTGAAAAAGATGTGTTGTTTTTTTCCCATTATGCAGATAAGGATAGTGTGTGGAGTTGAACATGATGATCTAAAGAGGTTGTTTCATGTATCAAAACCAATTAGAGAAGCGGTAAGCATTAGTTAATTGTTATTGAATATGCTATTACATTATAGTTGAAATATTTTTTTGATAGGATTTAAGTATTGATGAACTCTATGGTTTATTTGGTGAATGAACAGACTTTGGTTGCAAAAAGATGGCATTTTGAATATAGTACACCAACAAAGACACTTGGTTTTAAGAATGCTACTGATATAGATAATTGGAGTGAGTCTAATGATGTTGAAGTGCCTAATGCTCCTAGGCAATCGAAGTTTCCAAGGGCTCGTTTAAGCCGGAAGAAACTAGCTGACATATCCGTGGCCTTGTTTACATCAGACAGTGAAGAAAATTGGCCGCGGAGGGAGTTATTTATGTAAATGGACACAGAGGTATAGATCTCAAATCAGATTCTTTATTTGTACTACAGCAAAAACAACAACAGCTATGCTTCAATCTCAAGCGAGTTGGGGTCAGTGCCATATGGATCCTCATTGTTCGGTTGCTCCATTTAAGCCCGTCTCGGTCTGGATTCTGTATAGGTATTGTTGTAGAAATCATAGGTCTTATCAGATGTCAGTTGCTTTGTGTACATGTCACAACAATCTTTACAAGCCACATTGTTCTTCAACACTTTCATTGAAGATGGAGTGGCCTGTTTGTACTTGTAGAGAGGTTGATTTAGGGATTTTGTTTGAAGAGCTCTGTTGGCCCTTCTGATCTCATAGGAATTTTAGTTGTATATAGGAGTCTAGTCTCTTGTAGTACCATTTTGTTTAGTTATTAAATGAATAAATATGTATTCAACTTTAGCTCAAACTTGTTTGCAATTTGGATATTGTCCTGGAATTCTAGTTCTATTTTGTTTACATCAACTTTTCTTGCATGAATACCAATATGGACAATAGTGTGAAGAGATGCAATGTAATCTTGTAAGAAATAGAGGATTGAAATAATAACATATCCAGAGGTAGATATGTTGTTTTCGATAGACCACTGACTCAAAGAAAAATAGTCCAAAGCAGTCCAGAAAAAGAGTAATGAAATCGTAAAAGCATAACAAGACATTTTGAACAGGTAACTACTACAAATAGCAACAAATAGTAACAGAAATCAAATGACAAGAGTAGCTCACCCTATCGTACTAAAAAAGGCTTATAGATTCAAGCCATAAAATTTCTCAGTTCTGACGTAATGTACTTATTAGATTGAATGGACGAAAATTGAGAAAACACTACTATTTACTATCCTAATTCGTGTTCTTCACGACCTCAAAACACTACTAGTTACTATCCTAATTCGTGTTCTTCACGACCTCCTATCTAATCACCTCTCCCAAAAAGGATTGATGAATGTATTTTTTAAATTAAACACTTGGATGGAGCAATAAGTTAAAGAAAAAGACAAGAACAAACTTTTCCATTATCTTTTTCTTCAACTTCTTTTCATTAATTGGACAAAATTAAAGAAAAATTTCCAACCATGTGCTCATGTGTTTTACATTAAATAAACATGAGCACATGACACTAATTTTAAATATGCATGAGCACATGACATTAATGAAGAACCAGATTCCTTCTGTGTCCTTCCATATCTTGGTCACCTACCATGTACTCTATAGAAAGTTAGTAATACACGTGTTTGGTTACTTGGTATAGTATGGCATACATATATAAATTGAGCTTAACTATATTCATATAGTGGGCTTAACTTACTTGGCACTGAGGCGTAATTATGATTGTTTGTTGTTTATGCTTTGACTCTTCTTGATCACAATGTCATAAAGAGTGAGATTTAGATAGAAATTGACATTTTTTTTATTAAAGCCATCATCAAAGGAAGTTCCTTTGATGTTTGGGGGTCAGGCATGACCCCTGTCATATCTATTTCTTTTGAAGGGGATTATGAAAGGAGGGGACACGAACTTTACCTCGATAACAAAAGGAAGGTTGCTAACACAAATAACATTATTCAAAGTTTACTTCACTTCACGTGTCGAACATCAATACAAGCAATATATAACTTTTAATAAAATGGTTAATCCTTCAAAAATCAAATAAATAAATCATTGAAAAGTAGATGAATATCTTTAACACAGAATTAAAAACCTTTTAAAAAAAAGTGTTTGATTATGCATTTCTATTTTTTATTTTGTATAAATTATTTGAGTTGATAGGAATGCAGGGATAAAAAGGTTCCATACTTTTTTCCCATCCTTAGCTTGTAAAAAATTCCACGTTCCTCCCCTATCTCTTCCATTAAACTATTCTTCATTCATTCATATATTATTTACCCACAAAAAGAAAATCAGCATTTCTTCTCCTCCACACCCAACTATCTTATTAGTGTAGCTTGGCTATCTGAATAAGAAAAAATTACGTAGGTTCTCATAAAGTTTTTTAAGATTTTTTTTTTACGTGCTCGCTCCAAAGCGTCAAATTCATGAGCTAATACATACAAAAAATAAAGAAAGTCGAGTAATTCCTAAAAATTGGCTCGTAAATGCGAAAATGTGATTTAAAAATTGATGGAACTATAGATAATGTTTCCCTAACTCATTACAAAGAACATCATAAAGTTTTTTCAGAAATTTTTTTGGGTGCTCCAAGGCGTCAGATTCATGGGATAATATACATGAATATACATTTTTGTTTCTCTCATACACACTCAAACTTTCTTTATTTATCTTTCTCAAAGGAATTGCATTCTTCCTCATCTCTTTCAACTATCAATCAATTAACATATTATTTTTCTCTTCAACCAATAAATTATCAAATCACATTTGGATATTCTCAAATTCGATTCTCTGTCTTTATTTCGTATTTTTAATGCTCGTTTTCAATTACGAAATTAGAGTTTAAAGAGAACAACAAAATGTCCACAACTTAAGTCAAACAAAGAGAATGAAGCATTCAGATTTTTGTAAGAAAATAAAGAGAAAACATAGCATAGAAGATTCAGACATTAAAAACAAATGAGCCTTAGTATATAAAAAAGAAAGCAAGGAGTACTATTAAGGAAAAAGAATTGATGTTTTGTTCATTTTTATACTTTTAATTTCTTTCATTAGGAACCATAGAGGGAGAATTATAGTTGGAAATCAGATTCATCCCATTGAAGTACAGCAGAATCCAAATTCTGTTCTCTTTTAAGCTTATCTTTCAAGAACCAATCACATATTTTCCCAGCATTTAATTCTTCAATTGAACAACCTTCTTGTTCTCCTATCACTCTTAATAAATTGAGTGATGAAATCTGCACAAAAAAAAAGTTGTATGACACTCTACTTTTAGTAATTTCAACAAATATACATCATAAGTTATTTTTCTTCCATTGGTTCACAAATTTTCTTTTTAGTATTAATATTAATTCTTTGCTTCAACTATCCTCACGTGGTGAGACGGATAAAATTCCATCACCTTTTACTCAGATTCGAACAGTGAAAATAACTTTTTTTTAGTAAGGAGCACTTTCCTCTTAAATTGGTCTTACAGAACATAAATTTAGATACCAAATATTGAGCGAGACATTAAAAAAAGTTACTTGCTTCAACTTCTTTTTTTTCACCCCCTCCAAATTAAAGTGTTACACCTTCCACATATATGTCACACAAAACCAACTATATCATTGCTCCAAAGCCTAGTGGGGTGGCTTAGGGGGAGCCAAGTTGGGCCAAGGGGTTCAGATGTCCCCTTTGGTGAAATTCTATACATGGTTAAGACTATTTTCATATAAATATAGTAAATAGCAAATCCTTTTTGACATTTTGTGTGTTTACTTCTTTATTTGAACCATGGTTAATGAAAATTCTAGTTGCAGTGTTAGTTAAATCACGGGTTATAACATGTTTTTAAAAAATCAAATTGTGCAATCAGTGTATATAACTTAAATCCGTGACGTACCGTCAATCGACATAGAAAACGTTCATGAGTGCTGAGGCCGGACATTTCAACAAGGCCAGCTTCTTCTAGTGTCAAAAAAGTACGCCTTTCACCATTACTTGCTCTCACTACTAAGCTTTGCATTTGCTTTTTTCTATAAGCAAATTTTAATGGTTCTACAACATAATTAGCATTTGCATTTCTATATTTGGAACTTATAAATGATGGTACTAATTGATGGTAATTTTGTCCATAAGTTTTGAGCATATTCATTGTTTGGATAAATGGGGAATAAAAAGCTTGTTGTGTTTATTTTTCTTCAATGGCTTCAATCAATTTTACATGGGGTGGATTGGTCGTTTATCTAAATGGATTTCTTTGTGTGGTTTAAAATGCAAGACATATTTTGGATGGTTGTACATTAATTGGGCTACCAATTAGCCAAGTTAGGCCCAATTATTTACTCCTTCGATTCCAGTTTATATGAGTTAGTTTGATTGATACGAAATTTAAGAAAGAAAGACTTTTAAAACTTGTGATCTTTGTGTAACTATAATTTATTTTACTAAGGATAGAATGAGCATTTTGAAGATAACTAAATATAGAAATGTGGCAATTTTCTCCACAAGTTTTTGGCACAATCATCAATTGGATTAATGGGCGTGGGTGGGTGGGTAGGAGTGGGGTGGTGCAAAAAGCTTCTTGGAAATTGGGCTAGCTAACAAGTCAGGCCCAATAGTTTGTGGTTAAGTTTGTAAAGATATACTAGGTCCAAAACTTAATTTTTGCCACTTACAACAAATAACTTTTTTACAAGGCTAAAGTTTATATTTTCATATTATAATATCTCACACGTTATGTTTAGATATAATTTCAATTTTTAAAAAACTTAGGCTTCATTAGACATAAGTTTAATGGCTAAAAAATTAAAATTAAACTGTGGTTCATTTGAAAGACAAAAATTAAAGACTAATCAATTTAAAGGAAAAAATGAGGATCTAATTGTATAAATGATAAAACACTTTTAGGGATCGTCTGATTTTGAAGTAAGTTATGTAGGAATTCACAATGTAGGTGGATGTTCCTATGAGACAACGTTTATGATACTAGAACTCATGCCCTATCGAGTGCCTTCAAGCCTAGAGAGCAAGAAGCTCTTTATGATAAAAGTCTTGCATGTCTTTGTACTGAGAACGCATATGCATTATGTTATGCTTCTAACCGGCAGGAAATTCTTCTCACTTTTTAGTGGATTCCTTCTCTAAACTAAAAAACTTATTTACCTTCCGTCGATATCATTTCGTGATATTATAAGGTAATGTAAGATTATTATAAGGATTAGCAATGCAAATATTGTAATAAGTAATATATTTTATTTTAAAAAATATAAATTCATATTTTAAAAAGACTTATTTATAAATATCTTTTAAATAACGTAATAGTATAACTTCCTTAACAACGTATATAACTTAAAACTCTTTTAATTTTCTAATATCAACCATTTTATAGGGAATAACAAATAGGGTTCCTTCTGCACATTCAATTACTTAATTGTAACTATGTTATCAATTAACTTATAATATTATATTCGAGAAATAGGGGAAATCAAATGTATACCAGTTTCTGGAGATGTTTTACGTGGCATGAGAGATAATTAGTTACGAATTCATCAAATTTTTATTTAGATTTTATATGGATATCAAAAAAATTATGAATTACATATAAATATTTTATAATAAACTTAATAATCATAACGATTACATATTTACAGATTAAATTCGAAACTCATAAATTCTAAAATTTAATTGAACTCTAGTTGCATATTTTTCTACGGGCAAGGTTTTTAAAATTATTTAGTTATTTTATTGACGTGTCGTCAAGTTACTGGAGATATGGTAAAAATCTTCTTGGATGAATTTTTTTATATTAATCAGTCAGTTATATTTTATATTTCATAGTCTCGAGAAAACACTCGATCATTCTAGAAAAGTCAACCATATTATATTGGAAAGTTCTCGAAATATTTGACACCATTAAAGATTCAAATCCATTAATCTAATGCTAAAAAGGAAGGGTCAAATAAATTTAAAAGCCTTGAAAAATGCCTAGAGTTGCACGTATAAACAAGTCTTACAACATCAATTTAGGAGTAATAATAATTTGTAACTATCAATACATGGTATAGTGGATGAAATGTTTTTTTCTTAGTCATAAATTTTATATTTGAGTTTCGAGTATGAATCTTTTTGATAGAAAGATGCAAAAGCGGAGCTAGGTGGAGGTTCATGGGTTCGGACGAACCCACTAACTTTTTTGTAGACTCTATATTTATATTAGAAAATTAATTTTTTTATTAATTGATTTAGAACCCCCAAACTCCTAATCTTGACTCCGCCTCTAGTCAGAGAAGTTTCTATTTGAAGGTCCTCAACAATACGGATTCGAATTAATCAGGCTCCAATACATGCCTACACATATTTTTTTATTACTATCAAATATTATTTATATTATCAGTAATGTATATATTAAATTGATGTGAATATTGTTCTAAACTCTGCATGAATTGCATGGTTATCATATATGGTATGTATATGCATGAAAATGAGTTGATTGAGTTGAATTTAATTCGGTTAAAATAAGTTGAGCTAATTAATAAATAAATGAGTTATTGATTCACCCAAAAATTAGTCAGGCTAAACTGTGACTCATAAACTAACACGTCCGATAATATTTTAATACCTAATGAAACTATTTTTTTTCTTCTTTATTATAGTTATATATAATATATCAGATTAAAAAAATTCTTTTTAAATATATTTTGATAAGATTTCTCACGAGTCAATTTAGATCTCATTTTTAATGGACTAAACTATGATAGACTAGACTAATAAATGATCGGATTAATAATTCGTCTAAACTTAAACGAAGTGACATATATTACGTTATAATGGACTAATTTTGCCACCTCCATGCATGACATTCCTCTAAAATATTATTGTCAATGCTATTGGTACACCAGTCCCATGCATATAATACTTCAACAATGACCCTAAATTTCTTAAAATAGTATTAACAATTGTTATCCACTAATACTTTGAATCTCATATCTAAATATAGTTATTTTCAAATTCAATTTCTATTCAAAGAACAATCCCATTTCTGTAGAAAATATTCGAAGGTTTGTTGGAGAAATCGAACAACTCACAATAAAATATGCACAACACACACTATTATTTGATGATAAATCCACCTAAACAGAGGTAAATTTAGAATTTAAACTTTACGGATTCTGAATTTTAGGGTAACGACAATATTAAGTGCTAGTAACTTGATTTGGATTTTAGGTTTTGTACATATTTAGTGATTTCTCAACACATATGTGAAGTCTGAATTAAAGCTATTGAATTCGAAGTGAACTCGTATGTTCAATCCTATCGTCCACTCTGTTAACGTAAATTAACAATTTTAGGATTCATGCACAAGCAAACTCTAAGATTTGGACAAGTTGTTACCAATTTAAGTATGAAGATGTAAGCATTGATTAAAATTATTGTAAATATCATCAATTTTTTTAATTTTTATCTATGATACACCTAAGGTACAATCTGGACTAAGTAGTTATCCATTTGACTATATATGATATTATATTATGCATTCGTTAAATTTAATATATAGTTTTAATCAAACTAATAGCATAATCAGCATTCTAAACTTGATATTTTTACTTTATAAATTGCTTTCATGACACCAAACATTGAGACATTTTCCTAAGATTGTGCCATTTTTAATGTGATTAGTATATATCATAAGGTTATGTGTTAAATTTGTCAGCATATATTTGTTGACTAATTCTATATTAAGGCACGTAGATTATTATTCAATTATTTCATGTGTCCAAAGAGTTCTTTATAGGTAATTAGTGATGACAAAATCCTTCTAAGGGAACAAATATGAATTTGCTTAGGGAACAAAATTCAAACATGTAATTAAAGGTGGATTCAAAATTCAAAGTTTATGAATCGTTTTTCTACAAAAACTCAAATTAATATACAATAATAGTTTATTAGTTAAGTTCAAAATCAAATATTAATTAATAGATATTTAGTAAATTTCTTAAAACATTCATATACATCTTAAAAAGGTAATTACTTGGTAGGTTCGTATGAATGCATATGTTACATAAATACATACTAGATCCGCGCATCCACATATATAATTGTTCATAGAAAGTGAAATCGATAACTTAAAAATAAGATAAATTATATATTACAACCAATATCGAAGTCAGGAATTCAAGAAGGAAAATGGTAAAAATGCCACATCTACTATTTTTAGACCATTTTCCCGACTACATTATTAATTTCTTAACAAAAAATAATCCAGAAAATTCAAAAAGTAAATAAATACTTGTGCACTGTGTAATTAGTTTTTGGAGGAAAGGAATTTCGATTGACTCCCTTTCTTTGCATATGGCTCTGCCACTGATTACAATAGCTTAAAATACACTGATAATTTAATATATTTTTTTACATTATTATTTTTTAAAGATATATAAATACAGAAAATTCATCAATAATATAGGGAGGGGAGGGGGTTGAGTAAAAAAGAACAGCATGCATGGGAAATATTTTCTCAAATCTTAGTAGATGTATAAAATAATATTTGACCTAAAATACAATATGATCTGTCAAACAGATGAAGGTGGAAAAATGATGACACTTTTGGTCATAATTTTGTATTTATTTAGGCCTTATATGACATGAATATATAAATTACCCATTCTAGCCTTCCTATTTTGTTTCCTAATTAATTTCTCATGTTCCCTACTTTCTCGTTTCAAAATAAGTATCATTTTAAAAATTTAAATTTTAAAATAATAATTGTTTCAAACTACACTCTTATATAAAAAAAATATTTCTTTATAATAGTGCTTAATTCTAAAAAAATATTTAATAAATAGAGAGAACTAATAAACTATATCTTATATTTTTTTTAAGGGAAAAAGGACAAATATACCCCTAAACTATCGTAAATGGTACGCAGATACCCTCTGTCATATTTTTGGGACATTGATTCCCCTGCCGTCCAAAAACTAGAGCATATATACCCTTTATACTAATTGACATACATGTGTCATAATCTTATCCACCGAACGACATTTATTAAATATCGGATCGACGGATAAGATTGTGCCACGTGTCTCTATTTAGTCTTCCGTTAAAGTAAAGGGCATATATGCTCTAGTTTTTGGACGACAGTAGGGGAACCAATGTCCCAAAAGTATGACGGAGGGTATCTGCATACCATTTATGATACT